CATGACTCCCAAAGGCAGGGGCATGATGGGACTTGTAGTTTCACAACAGATAGCGGGTCACCAGTTTGACACCCCTGCCCTATACACACAACATTTTTGTATGACAGCATTCCAAGAAGGGCTGAAGCTATTTTGATGACAAGATTTGTATATTATATTATTTGATTTGATTCAGTGGTGTAGACTCTTTTTGCACAGGATTTAGATCTAGTCTAGTATCTAATTTTTCTGGTCTGTTCACTCAGTGGTGCTACTTCTCTAATTAGGATATAACAGAAAGTCTTAGTGTTGGAAAGTATCAGGATTGTATGAAATAAAGTTTTGAACATAAAGGTTGTTAAATTCCTGAAATCTTACAAAGAGATATGTGTTTAAAATTCATAGTCCTTGGTAAATAATTCAGCATTTTAAACTATAATCCACATTTTTTTTTCATTTGACATCTCTCTGACAGTTTGTCTACAGGACAGCCTGAGTGTTTTAATCCTGTCACCAATGTAAAAACTACAGGGAAAAGCATGTGTTATAGCCCCCTCCTCTTTTGGGAGCATCTAGTTACTTATCCTGCTGTCCCAGCTCCTCTGCCTTTTAACCTTTTATGTAGCAACTGAGGGGAGGAGCAAAGAGGATTATTATAGAGTGTCACTTGAAGGACTACTGGGCTGCTGACAACACATCTAAGATGATGGCAACTGGTAGCAGTCTGATGACTTTTGGTCATCTGGACAAGAGAGACTTCTCTAGGTAAATAATATGCACAAAGCCTTTCTACTGCCCAGAAAGCAGAAGTGCAGGGATTGGCCTCAGGGCAGCTGGAGAAGCCCACTCAATGAGTGGAGAAAGACTGCAGGGAGTTGCCTGGAACTGTCAGGAATATATGCCCTGGGAGGCAGCCTCTATTATGTGGAGAACTGTATGGGACCACATGTCCTAGAAGGATGAGACAGCTGCCCTGTGGGAGGGTTTGTAGAGGGACTCTTAGACTTTTAGGCCTTAGTTTCATAATATATACAGGAGTTTTATTGTAAAAAGGAATTGAAACAACAATACAGTTGAGTAACCATAGACTGTTTGACATGGTAAGCGTAGTACAATAGCTACAAGTTGTAGTACATCCAACATAAAGCAGGAAAAAACAATAGTTACAATATACAAAGTAAGCAGTGCTGTATCCTGTACAATTTCAGGGTTATACCCAGGGTATGAAGAACCAAAAAAAAAAAAAGGAGAGGATTGGGGGGGGCGAGGAAGGGAAAGCTCCATAGTCTACCCACTGAATAGCAGGCAGTAGTTTCACCTATATTTAGGCCTCCCTAGAGTCAGGTATTGTAGCAAAAGTGCACACAGAGATGGATGAGAACCTCCATTTTGGCAAAGGATCTTCCATTTTGTATCATTTCTACTCCCAAATCAGCTTTGCTCATCCCCCTCCCCTCTTTGTTGAGTGACATGTGGTCTGTTTGATGCAGATCACAAGCAGCAAACTCATTGGGAGGGCGTCATGGTTATAAATCCCACACTAGCGGTGCCCCTATGTCTGCGAGACTCTTGCTGGAGAAGGGATCGTAAAACCATAAACCAAGCCCTCATTGAACTTCAAAGACATTCCAGGTAGTCGTAAAAACAGACTGACATTTAAAAACTCACTTTTCCATATAATTTTATATCTTCAAATAGGACATAAACTACATAAACATGGAGCACATATTCAGACGGCTCACTTTAATACAAGTTGCCTGATATATTACATCCCCTAGCTGGCATATACAGGAGAGCAGAAAATTATATCTCCTTAACCATCCAAGCAGGTATGTCATATTTCATATCTAACCGTTCAGCAGATGCATCTGCATATTAATCTAATAGTGGCAAGGCTGCTAAATGCACCGAGAATAAGTTATGAACCATGACATCAAATGGGAGAGTTTTTGGTCATAGCTTGGGTCTCCGCCTGCAACACCTGCCCAAATGAGGCAATTGGTTCTCTGCTTCAGGGAGACACCCTGCTGAGTTCCTAGAAAAAACTAAGCTAAGGGAAGTTGAAGATTCTCCTTTTTAACATTGGAACTAACTTTGGGAGATAAGGCATCCTTTTGGCTCATGAATCCTGATCTGCTTAAACCAGGACGTTTGGCAAGTACTTTACCTCCCTAAATTCCCTTCTGTTATCGCTTTGCTGTGTTATTGCTCTCTGTATATTATATATATATATATATATATATATATATATATATATATATATATATTGGCTACATCTTTTTCTGTAAATATTTTTATTCAACCCTTTTGACATTTTAGTAATAAATCTTACTTTCTGAAAGTGTTGAACTGTTTCTAAAGCTCTTTAATGCAAACTAAGAATCCCTGCCTCTGAAGAGCGCTACTGTGTGTGTTTAAACCTCTGTATAACCTGCCTGTGGTGACAGTGGTATACAGACGACTATTCAACCATCATAGTGTTATTGCTGATATTGCAGAGTTTCCTCTTTCTTTGTACAAAAAGGAGGTGGTGGCAGTGTGAAGGGTTAATTGCATAATTAACCTGACCCAGTAACAATTGCTCTCAGGCTGCAGGTACACAGGTTGTGGTTCATTAGCTGGAAAATCTTTGTGCTGGGTGCAGCTAGGCGTGGCAATGTTACGCACGTGACAGCGCAGTTTTAGATTGGCTAGTCCTTCGGTCATAAGTTTGGTGACAAGGGCTGGGGTCTGACGCCGCAATCGTCACAGGTATCAGGTGGGGTTTGGGTCCAGAAATACTCGATTCAAGCATTGTTATTCTTGTACTGTATACATTTTGCTTTGCGATTTCTTACTACGGTTGGTTTTTGGTTGTCTTGTTGGACGTGTAGCTCCAAAAAAGTGGGGTTTATTTACAAGCTGGAGAGTGCACAATCACGCTCACTTCTGCACAGAAACCAATCAGCTTACAGGTTTTATTGCCAAAGCGCAATTGAACAAGCTGAGGTTAGAAGCCGATTGGTTTCTATGCAGAAGTGAGCCTGATTTTGCACTCTCTCGCTTTAGTATATAAACTCCAGTGTGTTGGATGGTGTTGCATCCTGAATAGGGCAACCCATACATCAGCGTTCCTTGGGTGGTAAGTGGTACATTTAAGACTAGCCTTTTTTGAAGGCAAGGAAAACAATGACAGACAACAGATTTCTCTTAGTACAGGTTTTCTTTTGTATAAACAACCAGCAATAATGTGTAGTAACTATTAATGAATAGATTTAAAATGTACCTGTACTCATTTTAATAATGATAAACCACCACTTCCATCAAACAGTGGCCTCCTCTAGGTGCCTACAGGCAGCTTCTGCTGTGCTGTACAGCACACAAGACCCTTTAAACCCAGGGAGTTGTATTCTGCAAATGGAGACTGAAACTGGTTGGTGGAGAGCCATCACAACACAGATATGTACCAATAGAGGGACATAAGGTAGGAAAGTGCAGAGCTATCTCACAAACTAATTTGGAAATTTAAAACCTGCACATCAACGTGCCCTGGGTTTGGGGGCTCCCTGGTCCCTCCATGACATACCAGAAGCTCCTTCTAAACCTCTGGGGGTGCCTTTTTAATGCAAGTATAGGGGTAGAACATGTGCTAGGAGAATAGTTTTTGATGACGTTCTCTGGGTCACTACACTTTGCACACAAATGTTATCAAAACTATACATATAATACAATATAATTACAAGTTCTAGGTATAGTCTCAAAGCTGAACTTTAGGGAACTAATAAAACACCAGTTAGTTAAGTTATGCATTAAAATCACAAAATTTATTTCAAATGCCACTATCATAAGCCATTGAATTTGACGTGGTGTAAGCCTTGTGTCATGCATTGCATGGCAGTATCTCCACTGGGAGAGAAATGGGATGAGGACAAAAATAGGATGTAGTGCAATGTTCACATACGGAGAAGGAACATTCTGAAGAAGAGAGAGAGAACACCGCTTCTGCACTATCCATCTATAAACTGGCAGCAGGGAGGCACCCCCCCCCCCCACTCCCTCATATACACAAACACACATATGTACAAATGTAAATCATTTTCTAAACATGTGTGCAAAAATGGCTCTGGCACTTAAAGGGTTGAAGCATTTCTGACTGCCACAGAATTGCCAATAGGGTGCTGTTGATTCAACTTTCTTAATTTATAGCTTGGCTTAGGAATGTGAAAGGTAGGATCTTTAATGTTTCCCATGGGCAACTTTTATAAATATGTCTTAGAAACATCAATAATAATTAATAACATCCAATAGGGCAATACAAAGTATTATTGTAATGTACATAGTATCCAAGCAGATTTCAATTTTGACACTTCAGGACTGCTGCAGAGATTTTAATGTGCTAATAAACACAAACACAAAATTCCAATATATTGCATCTTGCCAATCTTTAAATGTGGTGACTGCATTTGTTTTCCTAGTTATTTTGCTTGTCATGTGAACCATTTGCCAAGACTTGATATGGTTCTATACGAAGGGGCATTATGTAGTTCTACACATGCTTTGCAGTAATGCACAATCCAGGAAAAAGTTCCCATTGGCCTTAGTTTTGACCTCCATTTGAAGTATCCCTGGTATTTCTGATCATTTTTGTCCAGTTCAAGAAGATAGGAAGCCAGCTGTTTTGCACTGGGGAAGTCATCCACGTGAATGAAGGAATCAGATGGAATAAACTTCTCATAGATTTCTCTGGGTGGGCCAAGAACCACTGGCACAGATCCTGAAACCAAAGCGTTTTGCCAGAGTTTTTCTGTTATATAATCTGTATGTATTGAGTTCTCGAAGGAGAAGTAGAACTTGTATTTAGAGACAACTGAAACAGTTTTATCAGTGGGTAAAGGTAGGTGTTGTCGACCAAAAACATGTATGTTTATATATTTCTTCAATTCCTCATAAAACTGAACCCTTCTGGAACTAGGGTTCCAGTTACTGACAATCCAAGCCACCAGCTCAGACTTTTCTGGGATTGTATAGTTAATAGCAACTTCATTCTGCTCTAAATATCCATAAGGGGTAAAAATATCAGAGTCACTGCGGTAGGACATCGTGAGGTTGATGAGTTTGTCCATGAAGTGCAGGTTTTGGCTGTGACTTGGAGATTCCAAATTAAACCACACCCAATACTGTCCTTCTGGTCTTGGCACCTGAGGCATTTGGTTTTTGGATCCACATACATCTCTGTGATGGAATACAACTGCATTTGCTGTGCTATACAAGCTACGGTTGACTGTAAGCAAGCACTGTGGACTATCAAAGGGTTTTGGACACTTGTCTAAAGGGAACTGGTCACCAAATGGCCACGTCCATAACAAGATAACAGGCTTCTTGGAAAGAGCTGAGGAACTTGTGCATTTCTGTTCAATGGAAGCCTTGTTTATGATGTAATTATTACTAATACGATTATAACTGAATAACATAAGGGCAATTATAATTTGAATGAGGAATATAACAAAATAATGATGACGCAATGATGGTTGTTGTGTTGGCTTCATTGCATATCTAAAAACCAAGAACAAATAGAAATAGACAAATCAGTGTTCTATATAACATGGTCTGAGTAGTATCAAACCCTTTAAAAAAAAAATTCAGAGTATAGCCAAATATCAGCTAAAATTGATATTTCAGTTTTTATACTTTAGTTGATTAGCCTTCTGGGACTTCACTGATGCCATATAAATACAGATTTATATTAAAACTAAGCGCGTTTGTGAATTTTTTAGTGAATGTACAGTAATCAATCAGCATACTATATCCCGCACCCATGGTGTTTTGCAATAGGAGGACATGGAGGAGGAGGAGGAAGGAAAGGAGGCGGGGGGGTGGAGTCATTTACCACTGTGTATACACCCACATGTGTGACTGTACTCATATGGGCTGCACAGATAAGAAAAAGGAGAAAATGAATGAAGAGCTTAGAATGAAACTGAAATTTGATCATGCTCAGTGGAGGACACCAGCTGGCCTAAACAATTTCAGGCTAAGTTTTTCTTAGTTTATGTTATAAAATTTTACAAATAAATAATTTTCTTCTTCACTGGTGTGTGCTGATGAGGCTGCACTGATGATCACTGCCTTGATGGTGATCAGTATAAACAATGTACGCACTATACCCTGTTAGACTTGCCACCTATCGGCTCTCCTTTCTTCACACAGAGACAGAGTGTGTCAGGGATCCCGGGTCCTCGGCGGCGCGCGCATGCGCAGACCGCCGATCCGTCCCAGCCGGCGAGCGCAGAATCCTCGGCGGCCGCGCATGCGCGGTAGCGATCGCGGCCGCACCAATGGGAGAGCAGGGCGCTCTATTTAAAGCTGCCCTGTGCATCTCCAAGTTGCCGCAAGGTCTCGTTCCTGTTCCTGTAAGTACGCTTCCTTGTTGCCAAACTCTGCCTGTTCTGTTTATGCTGACCTTCTCCTGCTCTGACCCCGGCTCGTCCCTGACCATCCTTCTGCCTGACCCTCTGTACCGCGCTGCCCGCTACCTGCTGAACCTGGCTTGTGACCCCGACCATTCTCCGCTTACTCCCCCTGTACCACGCTGCCCGCACAATACCGACCCGGCTAGTCTGACCTCGCCTACTCCTGATAGTTGCCCATCCATCCCGCTCGGATCGGGATCTGTCATCCCATCCATCCCGCTCGGATCGGGATCTGTCATCCCATCCATCCCGCTCGGATCGGGATCTGTCATCCCCTTCACAGCAGGCTCAACCCGGGCACATACCCTCAGCGGGACCCCTCTGCCGCCGCCGGGGGTGCCCAGGGACGCGACCTAGTTTCAGTCTTGCACCAAGTCCATCCCCACCATCAGGGGCCCTGGTGAAAAGGCAGACTGGGACTTAGACTCCGCGTCCTGGGAAACCCCGTGCCGTGGACCACTAGAGATCCCGTTGGGCGGAGCCTGACAGTGTGCGAGGAAAGGAATATATAACTGGCAAGTCTGTTTACATGTGCCCCGCTGTGATTGGACACAGCTAATCACATGGTAAAGGGCCGCTTTGATTGGCCCTTTACCATGATCGGTTTGTCCAAAAGATACAGAGTGCGGCTGATGCGCACCCCATGGGCATCCTTCCAGAACAGGAGAGCCGTGCTGTAGCCACCTTTCTGCTATAGCACGATTGGGAAGTGGCTAAAGAGGAAATCTCATTACAATTTTTGAAATGTCATCTATTCCCCCCTGGAGACCAAATGGATATGACACTTGGTCCCATTCAAATCCATCCCTCAATCATTGCTAAGCAGTGTGGATGGACTATCCTTCCCCTATCTAATCATGCTGTTAGAAAGGTGTCAGATTTGTGAATGACAGCTCTGGTCTCTGGCAGCAGGAATCTCTCTGAAGACTAGCATTGCCATTCACATACTGTAGATCACACAGCCTTTGGCATTGTGTGTCTACCAGCGGCTGCATTTACACATACACTGCCCAGCTGATGGTGCACAGAGCACCACAGCACTAAGTGACCTTTCAATTTTATGAAAGAATGATTAGCTCTGCCCGGCAGGGTCATACTTGGCAGCCAGGCATTGCTTGTTGTTCATTCATAAAAATGGAAGATCACATATCACTGCAATGTTGTGTCATCCAATAGCTGGTGCTGAGTATGTATAAAAGCAGCCGGCAGATAGACACACAGAGCCACAGCACTGTGCGATCTGTCACTAATATGAATGAACAATTAGCACCACCTGTTTATTCATGATAGAAAAAGATTTGTCACAGATGTGGCTCTATGTAATCTATCTGCAGCTGCTTGTACACATGTACAGGGCAATGGCAGATACTGTACACTACACTCTTCTACTATTACGTACAAGCAGTGTTGATTGAAGAGAGGCCTTGGGTTCTGTGCTGAATGTACCTCCCTCCACAGTTGTGCCCATAATTTAGGCTTCAAAAATGTAATATTTTTGGTCAAAAGGTGAACTTATCCTTTAATATCAAGTTATATTTTGTGCATTTAGGAATACATCCAGCCCTTTTTTAAAACAATCTACAGAGCTGTCCAGAACTAGTTCTTGAGACAGTGTATTCCACACTTACTGCAAAGAAGTCTTTCCGTATAGAGAGGTTAAATCCCTTTTCTTCCAGAAGTAAAGATAGCTCCCTTCTCTTCTATAATAAGCTGAAAGTGAATAACTCCACACTAAGTTCCTTATTTAGACCACCAACAGTATGTACTATATTTATACATGGTGATCATATTATTATTATTATACAGGATTTATATAGCGCCAACAGTTTGTTCAGCGCTTTACAATATAACGGGAGACAATACAGTAACAATGCAGTTCAATACAAGAGGGATTTGAAGGCCCGGCTCCTTGGAGCTTACAATCTAGGAGGGAGGGGCTAGTGGTACAAAAAGGTAGTAACTGTGGGGGATGGACTGATTGGAAGAGTAGAAGATTCCAGTATTAGCTGAGGGCAGGATAGGCTTCCCTGAAGAGATAGGTTTTTAGAGATCGCCTAAAAGTGAGCAGAGTAGGCGATAGTCTGATAAATTGGGGTAGAGAGTTCCAGAGGATGGGGGAAGCTCTGGAGAAGTCCTGGAGATGAGCATGGGAGGAGGAGACAAGGGAGCTAGAGAGTAGGAGGTCTTGTGAGGAGTGGAGTTGGTTTTAGCAGTTAGTAGATCATTCGTGAGTTTTAGTAGGGCAGTTTCAGTTGAGTGTAGAAAGCGAAACCCAGACTGTAAAAGGGTCAATAAGGTCATATCCCCTATAAATCTCCTCTTCTCAACAGAGAATAAATTCAGTTCAGCTAATTTTTCTTTATAACAGAGCTCCTCCATGCCTTTCTCCAGTTCTCCTATATCCTTTTTGTGAACTGAGTTGTACAGGAGCAAAATTATACCACGAATTGAAAGGTAGTTTGTAATGCTGTAGTATCAGGGGCAGACTGACAACTCATGGGGCCCCCAGGCAATAGGGGATCATAGGGCCCCTGTGTCCTTGCCCAAACTCAAAAAAGCCTATGAAAAAAAAAAAAAAGGTACCAGGGGCATCTCATGGGGCCCCCTACTGACCCTGGGCCCTCAGGCAGTGCCCGAGTTTCCAAATGGTCAGTCCGCCCCTATGTATTGTACAACATTTTATAAGATACAGAAACTTACTTGGAAAGATTTTTGCACCTAATGATTAAAATGTGAGACTCGAAAGCCGCATAGTTTCAAGAGGAGTTGACACTGCCCGTACACTAGAGATATTTATTTTTTTAAAATGGCTATACATATACTTTAAGTTTATGAGTAGAAAAGGATTAGACCCATTTTGTTGTCTATGTCTCCACCTGAAGAGATCCACCCTCTTTTTGTCTTGCTGGCCATTGTCCCCAACAAAGAAAGTGATGTAAAATTCCAAATTTTACAGTGGTCATAGAAACAGTAGGTATACAGAAATCTATCAATGGGAACAACTGTTCCAGTGACAACTGTCTAAGAGGAGAATCGCTTTCACTTTTTAGGGATATCCTTACCTTTTCTGTTGCGTCTGTAGGACAGGAAGTGAAGGGAAATCTGCTCAAGGGGGCACAGGCAGTAGAAAAACTGAAATGGCTTATCACCCTTTCCTATATCCAAAACAAAAATTACAAAAAAAAAAAAAGTTTTAGCTATACATACACTAATTTATCATTTAAATTGCGTTCATTTTGCGGCAAACATGGTTTCTAAAATATTGTGGTTAGGAAGATCAAAGACAAATATTGGGAATATCAGTAGAAAATAAGTTAACAATTGAAAACCATATAAAGCTTGATGTGTCAAAGTATTGTACGAAGAGCTTTGGTTAATTCCTCTCAGCCAATTAGACTAAAGCCTTCTTCCCAAGTTTCACTCTAAGCATTCTAGTCCTTAAAGGAAAGCTATAATGATTTGTACTCCAATCCTTCATGGAAAGTTACTGTATATAACGGTTTGCACTCCAGTCCTTAATGGAAATCAACTGTATAACGGTTTGTACCCAAAACATTAATGGAAAGCTATAACGGTTTGTACTCCAGTCCTTAATGGAAAGCTATAACGGTTTGTACTGCAGTCCTTAAAGTGATTGTAAATCTCAGACATGA